TTGGTGTGCGCTCGGAAACCCCGTTGCTTGAACACACAAATTGCCCTTTGGTGTGCGCTCGGAAACCCCGTAGCTTGAACACACAAATTGCCCTTGGGTGTGCGCTCGGAAACCCCGTAGCTTGGCTTTCTGGGTGACATAATCCAGAAGCTTTCTTAAAGCTCGTTTTTGAGGACGTGGTCCCTCTTGTGGTTTTGCAAAGCACGCACCAGTCTGCGATTAAAGCATTGGTTCGGCCGCCCGGTAGGGGTACGCCGGTCACCCCTGGCCTCTTTCACTAGGGCACCCAGGTTACCACTGCAAAAACACAGTCTTGAGTGTCCCAGAGTCTGCCCAACAACAGCGAGGAAGCCCAACCCTCCCACAGGAGGGGCAGAGAGGGGCGAGCTCTGGGAAGGGCCTGGCGTGGCAATGCCGTTTGTTCCCCATGCTCGCTGGTGGATCCGGCTAGGTTCCTTCCATTGAGCATTTTGCTGCTGCCGCCTGGTACTAAATACCTGCGTGAACACCCTCACCCCGCAGACCCGGTGGGACATTCATTTGTGTCGTATCCTAACTACGTGGATACTCTCACCCCGAGGACATTCTAAACTGTGGATCGCGTGGGACAGCATGGATAACCGAGGTAGATGCTGTCCCACTGGGACATGCACCATGCGCCATGCGCCAATCACCAACGGGGCACCCTGGTTTCATTGTTCCCTCTTGCCTCCGCACCGAGTAGCTAGGCCGTCATTCTTACCCGCTAGATGGCATCGCAGAACACACTCGATACCGCACTGCCGCATTGCCGCGCCTGCGCACTGAGATCGGCTGGTTGCCACGCTGCCGCAGCAATTGTGTTCGGAGTATCCGCGTGGACGATCTTCCCGGCCGACTCAGCGGAGCATCCCTAGGCCTCAGACCCCAACGCAGCCACGCGCCGATACCCTGAAGATGCTGCCACAGTAGAGCCGCGCTAATTACCTGTGCGGCTTCACCGCGTAAGAATTGCTGGCCTTTGTGCCCACGCATAGAGGACTTGGACTATCCTTCTTACCTGATAGATGGCGCCATAGAGCGCATCCCTACCCTGCAGAGTGCCGCATTGCCGCGCCTGCGCACTGAGATCTTGGCGGACTCGCCCTGCAGACTGCGTCACAACCGCCTCCGCACCAGATCTCGCCAGACGTCTCCAACCCTGCAGACTGCGGCACGACTGGGAGCTGAGCGGACATCTTGACCGCGCCTCTGTGTCCACGACCGAGGAGGAACCAGAGGCTATTGCGACGTTAGGCTGTGTGTGGTAGCCGATCCGAGTGCCGGCACCATGTATCTGTACGCTGCTGCCGTTCTTGTGGATGGTCCCGTTCCTCCAGGAAGAGCCGTGCCCTATTTGTTGAAGATGGTCGGGTAGAAGACCTACAGCACGGACCGCGGAGCCGGGAGTCTTCTGCTTGAGGTCTCTCATAACAATGTGGCCGAATGATGGGCAGGCGGCGGAGGCGCCGAAAAAATCCAGATGTCTGTGTTGGTGCAGCTCGTGCGTGGGCGGCCCTGAGGAAACTGCGAGCCCAGAACCCTACAGCTCTCGAACCGACTGGAAGCCTGGCCGATCTTTTCACCCTGGAGACGCTGGCACAGAGGCTCGCCATCACCCTGTGGATAGGTGCATTGTGGTCGTCACATAATGATCAGCCATGGAAGGTTCCCAGCCGCCTGGCTGGGACTTGGGCGTATGCCCTTACCCAGCCATTACCTGCCCAGCTTTTTGTCATCTTGATCCTGGGGAACTATACATATTTGTGGCTACACTTCAGTGACTGAACGGATGTCGTTACCCTGCGGATAGAGGCCCAGGGGGGCCGCGCACGGATACCCGGCAAAACGGCCTTGTGGGGGTGGATAGCTTTAATGGCGCAGTAAGGTTTTGTGTGGTATTCTTACTCCCGCGGATGGTGGCGCAGCGGAGCTGTGCACTGATAATCTCAGAGCACTTTACCTTGCACTGCTGCTGTTTGCGCACTAAGGAATTAAGAGTATGTCCTTATTTTGGATGATGGTTTAACAGAGTCGGTACTACCCGGTGGATGCCTGCATTGTGGTGTTTGCATACCAGATGCCCGAGTGGATCTTATCCTGGGGATGTTGATACAACAGAATTCCTTATCTTGTGGATAACTGCGTCATAGCAGCTGTGTTTGAAAGGCCTAAGAGGATCTTATCCCACGGATGGTTTCCAAGCGTCCTCCTCCTGCGCGTAACCACATTGCGACTGCCGCGTTTTGTTGTAGGGATGGGGGCACCGCGGAACGTCCTTCTTTATTCTGTGGGCAGCTGCATAGTGGTGGCGCGTACTAAGGATCGGAGCGGATCTTAGCCCCAGATATGGCGGTATAGTCAAGTATTTAGAACCCGCGGGAGCTGTACGGCCATAGCTGCGCAGTAAGGTTGAGGATGGTGGTACGACCGACCGAACACTTTTACCATGTGGATATATGCGCTGTGGTGGCTGGGCATTAAGGATCCGGGCTGGTGTTTTTCTGGAGCTGGTGGTACAGCGAAAAGCGTCCTTTCATTGTCGCATTGCGGCAGCTGCGCAGTAAGAATCTAGGCAGATAGCCTCATCTTGTGGATGGTGGCGCCATCTTGGGGATGGTGGCGCAGTGGAGCGCCCTCTCTCTGACGGTGACCTCATTGTTGCGGCTGCGCATTAAGATCTGGGATCTGTAAAGATGCGTCACAGCTACATCTGCACACCCAGGATCCGGGCAGATGTTTTTACTCTGTATGTAGCTGGGTGGATGACCTCAGCCTTGTGTGCCACCATGTTACCGTGGAGCCCCGTGTCGGTAACCCTCTGGATTGCTCTTATTCTGTGAATAGTTGCATCCCCGGGGCCATGCTCTCAGGACCTGCTCTAAGAATGTGGGTGGGCTTTCAAACCCTCCGGTCTGTTAACGGGTGCGTTTGTGCATCAGGATCAGAGCGTTTACTTCCACAGAACGTCTCACAGCAGGGAGCTGGGCGGATGTCTTTGTCCTGAGAGCTATGGTATGGCCCGGTGGAGTCTTTGCATTGTGGATAGCCACACTGGGTGGCATGCTAAGGACCCGGATAGGCTCTGTAGCCCTGCAGACGGCGTCACAGCTGCATTCACACATCCAAAGTCTGGACTGGTGTTTGTACGTTGCAGATGGGCACGCTGTGGAGCTTACTGTACTTGACTGAGGAGCTGCATTAGCACAGTCACCCTCACGACCAAGGGTAGACATCTTTATTCTGGGGTTGATGCAGTAGCGCTGGGTGGTGATAACCCAGTAGGGCATCTCACCTCCCGGGCAGCTGCATGGGTGTCATAGGCACCAGGATGACTTGGGCAGACATCTCTGCCTTTGGGTTGGTGGCAGAGTGGAGGTGTGAATAAAACCAGCCAAGTTTCCATCCGGTTGCTACTACATCTGGAGGACTCCACAGGGCTTCCTTGCCCTCAGGAAGCCATGTTGCATCCCACTGAAAATGTAGTTGGATTTCTGCTCTCTGTGACAGCAGCACTGCTTTGAGTGAGAAACAAGAAGGCGGGTTGAGGGTGGTACCATGTGGTCAATGGTAGAGTGAGGACCTGGCCAGCAAGCCTTATCTTATAATGGAGTAGCCTATCTTGATGTCATTACCTTAAAGATGGCTGTGAAAGTTACCAGTTACCATGGCAGGTGTCCTTGTCCTGAAGATGGTGAAACTGCAGAGCTACACATTGATCATCCAGCTGGGGTCCTCACTGTGGTTCATGGCTATGGCTGTGTGGGAGTGATTGGGCGGATGCCCTTACTGCGTTGCTGGGGCAGAATGGAGCTCTCTGCAGGGAAGGCATCGTCAACGTGGACAGCGGTGGCTGTGCACTGAGTGGCTGGATTGATGGCCGCAGAGGATGGCGGCCCAGGGAAGCTGCAGACCCATAAACCAGTTGGCTTTCTTCAGACTGTCAGTTTTAGCATGGATGCTACAGCTCCAAGGAACTGGTTGGGTATCCTTACCCAGCGAAGAGTGGTGCACTCTGGGTGTTTTCTGAAGACCTGGGCAGGTTTTCCAACCCTGCCAAGTACTGTCGAATTGTGGCTGGGCATGCACCAAGGAGGCCCAGGTGGACAGTCTTCTTCCTCTTTGGATTGCAACAGGACTCTCGTCACACCCTGAGGACCACAGCAGTCTCTGTCATCTCACCCGGGGGGAATCTGGAAGGCGTTTTGCTGGCTTCGATTCACGGTGGTAGCTGCTGCTTGTGAGCAGTGAGGCGCTCTCTGGGTCCCCTCCCATGGGACTACCCGGTCCCCTTTGCCGTGCCACATTTGCTAGGATCTTGTGGCACACTCAAGACTTTCAGTACTGACTGGAGGAGAAGACCTCTGCATTGCTGGAGCTCCAAGGGCACAGACATGCCTGCTCTCCAGCGTGCAGATCCTCTCCTGTACCCAGTCCCTTCAGAACTCAACCAGGTTCCACTCCAGGTTTTTCCAGGCTCTATTGACACCAGAAACTCCCAACTTCTAGCGGCTCCAACTGAATATCTTGGAGTCGTCTTTCACGCTTCTCTTTAGCCTCCATGCTTAGCACTGTAGTGATTTCTGTTTTCTCTGCCTCTTTAATGCTTCCAGTGTCTAGCAGCTTTGATTTTACTCCCACCCCTACCCCTGCACCTTTACCTCTGCTCCTTGCCTCCCTCTGGCTCTACCCCATCCTATCCTCGCTGAATAGGTTGAAGGAATAGATGAGTACATGCCTACCTTATTGTCTTTGTCAAAGCTATTCCTTTGAACTGCTTTTTTTTTTATTTATTTATTTATATATTTTTTTATTTTCCAGATAGATGCAAGGCTGCCGCCTCCATTCCATCAGGTCTTTGCTGAACTCTATAAACTTGTTAACCCAGCAGCAAGGCATGGATTGTAGCCACTCTCTCTTTTCCCACCCAGGGCAATTAGTTTGGATTGCCACCATAGCTCCCTAACTAGTTTCTAGTGTTTCCCCCCAGTAGTCTGTTGTTCATAGGTCCCTTAGTAACCCCATCCAAACCAAAGTGAGATTCCCAGCTGTGCCTCTCTGGCTACTCAGAAAAAAACCCACAATCCTTACACTGGCCTTTCCCCAGTCCCTCCCTCTGCCTCTGTATTTATCCCCGCTCCTTCCCTCTCCCTGGCCCTCAGCCCTAGTTTATCCTTGCCGAACAGATCAAAGGAATATGTGGATACATATATCCACACCTCCGTGGAAACTCTTACGAATTGTTTCTCCAGGTAGCCATGAGGCTGCCCCCTCCCCTCCAACAGGTCTTTGCTGAGCTATAAGCTCATCAGTGCAGTAGCAAGGCATGTATTATAGCTATACTCTTCTCGCCTAGCCCCCCAAACCCCCCG